GAATATTTTCTGTATTTTATGTGTATTTTATAGAACTTTTCATTAAGTATAACATTCTGCGTATTCCTATTTGATTGCTGACGAAAAATGTTGGGTACATTAAACACGTATTGTTTATCTGTTTGTTTCGATGTGTATCTCATAAATAAATAGACTAATTTCAATAAGAATTGGTGGCGCTTGGAAAGCCAAGTGAAACGTATTCAAATTCCGGGTCTCGCACCTCTGATATTTGCATATAGGCTAATAATTTCTAAGATGAAAAATGCATTTCTGAAAGAACCTAAGAAGTTTTCGAAGTACATGTGAAAGCCGCCAACCCGCACTTGGCCAGTGTGGTTGACTATGGCCTGATCTTCTCTCATTGAATATCTAATATATATCTAATAGGTAAATATGTATTTTACGTATCGAAATATTATATAGATTTGCTTTGCATCGGCTGGCACCGACTTCGAAAAAATCTGTCTATCAGTATACTAAACACACTTCCAAAGTTTTACACTTATTATGATAGTCGGTTTGAAGATTTTTTCTTCTTTGTTTGATTTTCAGAGTATTAACTAGTATCCATACCTTTGGCTTTGGCATATCTTATTAGTTCTTAATAATACTAGTTCATTAAAATTTAAAATCAATATGAAGTACTTGCAGCTTGGAATATATAACCATTTAAAATTCTTAGAACCAAAATGCAGAGCAAAGTAACACAATATTGTATTGTTAAATTAAATTCCTGCTCATGTATAAAATACTGCTAAATCAATTATCTGATAGGCGAATATAATACCTAGTAGTCCATCCAACTAATCAAGTATGCTCTTTTATTTTATTTCATAACTAGACTAGATCCAGGCAAATAGAGGAAGAATCTTTTGATAAATTTTCCTTTTTCTAATAACTTTCTAAGACTTATAATAATGTTTTCTCAATTAAGGCTCTGTATTTTTAACTTCTCTATTCTTTTATGATGGTCTTCCTCTTAAAATTAACGCATTAATGTTAAATTTTTGTGTTTTTTTTATAAATACTGTGTTAATAATCTACATTAAATTATGAACTAACATACTATGTAATATGAATACTGATTACTAACCAATTATTACAGTGTCAATATTTTGTTGCATGTGAAAATTACATCAGCATCTATGATAGCGGTTGGTCAATATATAAATCTGTTAATTTAAAGATTTATATATTACGTATCCTTTTAATATAAAAAAAAATCAAAAATGCTACAAATAAAGTTCTCAGCTTTGGAAAATTGTTCAGAACGTATTATTATCTTTCGTAATTAGTATTTGATTTTTTGACTTGACGGTTCATTAAGTGATTATATTATAAAACAACAAAAAAATATACAGATGAACGTATAACCTCTTTTTTGTTAAAAGCCGGTTAAAAAGATCCAATACATATCGCATAATAATAATGTCCTTCCGACCGATTTTTTCTGTCACTCTCATACTCCGGTGAGAAGAGTACTCGACACGAGTGCTCTTCGAGGCACGGGGGTGCAACACCGACAACTTCCCAACTCTAGGCTGTTATTGAGGCTTATTAAATAGAAAGACTGCATAACTAAACTTGATCCGACCCGGAACTTGAACCCAGAACCTACTTGCTAGCAACTTCACGAGCGAGGTAGTTAAACACATAATAACACCATAAAGTCACACAATAAAAACGGAAATCAAATAATTCACAACACTCGCATGCAAAATATTCAAGTACGTTTAAAGAAGGCGTTAACCCGGAGTCGGAAACAATAAACAAACTTCCGAGGTCTGTGATATTCCTTTGTGGAATAAGACGGATGCTTTCACAGTCTTTTCAACGTTTGCTTTTACTTTGCTTAAGCGTAAATATATTTACTTATACAACAGTAGCTACTCATCCTCGCTTAGCTTTCGTTCGTAATGAAAAACAAATACAAGTCTATCCCACGGGAACCGTATATTTTTCCGGGACAAAAATTAATCTATATATTATTCCAGACTATAATCTATTTCTGTGCTAAATTCCATCTAGATCTGTTCAGCCGTTTTGGCGTGATAGACTAACAAACTTTCATATTTATGATATTAGTATGGATACTAGTGAATTATCATAACTTCGCTCGTGTGCATCCCGTGGTATCTTTTGTGCTTATATATAGTATACAGTAGCGCCATCTTTTGGCAAATCTTATTATTAATAGTAGCGTACGTCGTCACTCCAGGTCATACCATATATTTATATTTTAAAATATACATAATATTGTATGATCTGGTCATACCTGGACCTGGACAATGGACATAGTCCAAGAAAACCATCCAGCAGTCAGCTTAAAGGACTAACAAACATACACGCGTCTGTGGGTACAAACATATAAACATTAGAAATTATAATAGTAATCTGATTATTCTATAATATTATCTCTAGTAATTTTATTCTATATTTTTACTTATAAATGAAACTGTATAATATAAATTATTGCACCGAAATATTTTTTATTAATAATAATTGGTTACTTTAACTTTAGCTATGTCAAATTAATCCCGTGGAAAGTACTTGTATTTTTAAAACTTTAAATAATACAAGCGGTAACAAAATGGATTGAGTGAAGCCAAGATTCATATTAGATGGTGGGAAGTATTTTTGTATGAAGCTATTTGAGAATTTTGTTTATATTTCGTAAGTATATTTGTATGAAGCTAGAAGTCAAAGGATCAAATTACATACACACATTATTAATGCAATTAAATTTTGTTAGCAAAGTAGAAGAAAATTCCAAAAAAATATCTCTAAGATTCATTATATTTGGTGCAATAAAATAAATAAAAATCTTCCGTGAACTGAACACAAAAATCGCATTTGTACACAACAAAAAATCAAGTGGCATGGCAATGGCTATTAAATTTAATCCTATCAAATAAAATATTTTTTTAAATTATGATTTATTTGATAGTGATATAAATGAAACGAATACATAAATAAGTGGCTAACGCGAAAGTTTGTGAGTAAAGATAAGACCGCTTATATCCTCCTAGCGCCGAAAGATAATTTAAGGAGAGTAGCTTAAGCACCCAATGTTCTTCCACAAGTACATAATTAAGTATAGTGCTTGCAGCCCAAACATAAAAGAGTTATAAAAACAAGGATACAGTGAATTTTTCAACGCAATTTTTTTGACGCTTTTATATCATAGAATAGAATATATTTTTGCTATCAGAAACTTTAAAAAAATGTCCATGTCAAAGAACATTGGGCTACTATCCTTAGAGGAGGTATATTCTTTATGTCTTATGGTAAGCACATTGGGCTATTGCGTAAATAAAAGCACTGAATAGAAATTATTGTATTTATTGTGAATATTTCGCACAGTTTTATTATACAAATCAATCAGTAGATACAAATCAATCACTAGTTCAGTCTCAATATTTTTTGGCTTGGCTTACTTACCACTACAAAAAAATATTTTATCATTTTATGACAAAAAATTACAAAAACTCTACCTCTTTATAAATAAAGTAAATTAAAATTTTACCAGTACTCAAGACATTCAATTAATAACAGAATTTATGTTTTTAACTGTTAAGAAAAATGTAGTTTTTTCATACATAACAAAACAAAAACATTTATCAAATACAGTAAACATTTTTTTTTAAATTAATCTGAGATGAAATTAGGAACCCCATAAATTTTATCTTTGTACTAATCACCATCTTCCCTCTCGTTATTATTGTCGCTTGAGCTAGACGGTATATTTTCTAGTGAACCAACAAAAGGAGGATCGTCTAGATCTTCTTCAAATAGCAAGTAATCTTCTAAGTCTGATTTTTCCAATTACGATTACAACGACAACAATGTCTTCCGGTTACAACTCTTAAAAAATAAAGTATGCCTTATAGACCAATGTTCTTCCATAAGAACATAAAATTACGGAATATACGCTCGCTGTTCTCACATAAGTACATATTGCTCAAGAATGAAAAATAAACACTTTTTCAAAGGAATTTTTCAAGAATATTAAGACATACATGACAATTTAGTATTCCAAATTACATGCTTACTTACTTTAAAACTTATTAGTTACTTGATTACATGCATAATTCGAGATTAAAACTTACCTTTACCAAGTCTGCGCTCCATGTTCGCCATTTTGATTACTAATGACAAGTTTTTTCTGATTGGATTAGCTTAGTGTCGTATGATTATGGTCACTTACATGTCCACTAATCAAAGAGCATTAGAAAAATAAAACCATGCGCGGCAAAATTTAAAAATATTAAACAATAACTATTATGTTCTTGTGTAAGTCCACTGGGCCGTCAAGAACATGTTGTATCATATTTATCTGGGCGGTAATCAGGTTTGATATTATGTCCTAGTGCGAGGTCATTGGGCCTCACGAGGATATATAATTTAAATAAAAGAAGATGGTTCTGTGTCAAAACGCAAAAGGCATCTGGAAACGCTGGCAAGTCACAAGTCTACACATAAATAAAATTCTAACTGAGTCGAATCTGTAGATTAAATATTTTTTGGAAAATCTTATTGAAATAGTCACCATTATCGATACAGAGGCCGAATATATGTATAGTGTTTAGAATTTTTGTTTGTTTGTACGTCTGTCTGTTACCGCATCACAAAAGACCACTGGAGGGATTTTGATGAAATTTGTTATGGTGATAGCTGGTAATCCGGGTCAACATATATGATACTTTTTACTGCAGGAAAATATCTCCTCTCTGAAAAATCTATACTAAACGTTAAGCGTAAATAGGGACGAACCCGAGCGGAGCGAAGGTGAATCGCTAGTTTTCTATAATTATCACGTTCATTTGCTTAGGATATCCCTTGAGAGGAAGTCCAAGGACGTAATTTCTAACTAACCAACGTTATTATTACACAATGCTAGTACTAATAACTAAACGAAAAACGAGTAAATAATAACAGTTATATAATTAAATATAAGAAACAAATAACGACATTGTATTAAACATAGAATAAATTCAGGCATTAGTGGCACTAGAATGTTGACTTTCCCATGCTTCTATAGCTTTTTTAACCCGAATTTCGCTCTGAAATGCGCGTTCTGGGCTCATTCTTTGGGTAACTAAGTCCGGGCATCTGTAATAAAATAAGTCTGATAAGTTTAGGTATGTTATGTCCATATTTTTACGTTTAATTTAACATACGATATAGATGCAGTATTATAAGTCTTATACCCACTTTTGAATATGTGCGGATTGTTGTTGCTTTTTGGTCAAATCAATATTTCTTATAAAATAATATAAAACACTAAAGTAAGAATTATAATCTAAGGGTAAAGGTCAAAAACAAAAATAAAAACAAAAACATAAAATATAAGAATAACCTGTATGACTGGTATAGCGCAATGATGTTCGCAAGTTTGATTCCTTCATCAATCATACAAAAAACACGTATGGTACATACAAAAATATTGCTAGAAAGTAATATATTAGAATTAATAAGTGAGATGATGTACATAGTAGTTCAATAAAATAAAACTTATGCTATAATTAAAATAACGTTTCAAAATTGATTTAGTAGTTCCTGAGATAATGTATATAAACAAACATATAAATGGTATAATTTATAATATATGGCTAATGTAAGAGTACTCATCTGAATTAATAATAATATAAGGATACATAAACAAAAACTCGTGTTATAATAAAAATCTATTAAAATGAATAGAGAGCTAAAGTAATTGCTAAGAGAACGGTACAAACTTGTAAATTTCATTAGTGATGTGGTTATCATTCTTGCATCGCTTGTTCCACTGATCCCAGTATTTAAATCCTTCTCTGTGGAATATATTTACAGCGCAAACTGTGTCATCCCGAATGTCATCGTCGAGGAGCGCTAAAATATTTAAAACATTATTATCTACTTGTTTTAGTTTAGGGAGTTGCTCACTTGTTGGTCAAGTTAGTCAATAGTAACTATATAATATGAGGTATGACTGGATATAACCTAGGTTGAGATTTTATTGTCGTGGTGGGTCATTAGCGTCCAGTAATCCAGCTGGCTATGAAACCAAGTAGCACACTGGGAGGGGGCCCACTTCAATGAGCGATGTACTATGCAGGTTAATTCTGATACTTATCTGATAGCAGACCGTGGGAACTACCCCATGGTTGTTATGGTCTGCCATCGGGGTGTCATGGATGAGTGTGTAAGTAATGTTGTGTTGCCCCATTAAGACTAGAGAAGTTCCGTTGAGTTTTAGTGGGTAGTACTGACTTTTCTAGCCGGTGATTCCAACATAACTACCAGTAATTATATATAAATACTTCTCCCCCCCCCTCTTTTCTCCCCCCCCCCCCTCTCCACACACCCTTCACTATGTCTCCTGCGCATTTGGTTAATTTTGAGATTGACCGCCGCGAACGAAATCAATCGGAACAAGGTTCATACATTGCACTATTAATATAAAGCAAAACCAACACCCATAAATTAAAAGATTACATTGTAAGGGCTAATAAAATTCCACTTATATGCTTAATGATACTAACCAGGCGGATTGAGCTTTTGACCGGTTAAAGAGAAACAGTCAAGCAGTTTAAGCTCTACATAAAATACAACGTTAACTTTAGAGAGCTTAGTGGATAATTATCCTTATTTAAAACTAGAGATACCCTTGTTTCACTCAGAGGTGTCCCTAGATGCCTAATAGTAGCCTATATGATGCGCTAAGTTATAGTCTATCTATGCTCTAAATTTCACCCAAATCCGTCCAGCCGTTTGAACGTGACGAAGTAACATACAAATTTTCGTATTTTTGTACATATGTAATTATAGCAGTTCGAAGTCAAAACATATGCTATATATATATATATTTTTTGTAGTTTTTATTTTTTTGTTGTTATGTTAGAGGAATGTTGTTAACAAAAAAAACTAGTTTTGATACACGTGACATTGTTTTGAGCGTACTTTTTTGTATTGATATGTCTACATAAATACAAATAGCATTTTCCCGCGGCTTCACACGCGTAGTTCAATTATATATATATATATATATATATATATATATATATATATATATATTATAGTTATATCTTTAAAAATTATAGCCTACGTATTATTCGGATGTGAAGCCTATGTGTTACTCTGGTGTATAAGCTATATTACTGTAAAGTTATATCAACATCTGTAAATTAGTTTTTGCGTTAAAGAGCAACAAGTATCCATCCATTCTCGCAAACTTTAAAACAAATATAAAATCGCTATAAAAGTATCGTCACAAACCGTTTCTTCAAACAAAACCCGGCCAGTGTCACTGTTAGGGACATAAAATAGATCGTAAAATGAAATTTTAGGTAGGTCACTGTAAACGATGAGCTGAAAACTGAGATATAAAATTTATATTTAACGACTAGCTTTGCCCGCGGCTCCGCCCGCGTTCAGATGATCAAAACCAAATTATTAGGTTTTACATATTAGTATACTCTTACAGCAGTACAGAAGATGTACTGCGCCGACCCCAAGTGATTGGGAAATGGGCAGGGAGAAGAAGACATATTAGTATATTCTTACATTGCAGTTTTTGCATTTTTTCACAGAAATGAGATATTTACCCGCGATAAAAAGCAGTCTATGTCACTCTCCAGCCATCCAACTATCTCCACACAAACAAGTACGCCAATCTTACACTCTGTTTCGACGTGAAAGAAGGACATGCAAACAAACATACACACTTTCACATTTTTAATATTAGTATGGAAATCTCATTTTGGCAACTAATATTAATTTAATTAATGCTGTTGAATAAAGAAAATTATTTTCATCATCGCTACAAAACATGATATTTTCCATTCCAAACAATAACTTTGTTTATTTCGTTTGTGACATGCAACTTTGTAGTTTTGAGATATAAAACCTCTTTTAGAATACGAATAAAAGTGGGATAGAGATTGCTTTTAAAACTCGTACATTTGAAGTAATTTTCGCTAGCGCGTGCATGAATTTTCAGTAACTTTAGTCATAATCTTATAATCCATCTTGCTTTTCTAAGGTTAGTCTGAAATGGTAATAGAGTTTCTACGGACTGAGCATTAAATTTATTACGTACTATGTATTGATTAAAAAGAAAATATGAAAAATTGCTAGCTTAGCTAGTATAGTATTTTAAAATATTAAGTTAAATGCATAATGTGTACTATTCACGTATTTATACCTGAAATGGTCTCTCATACCGTAAATAAACATGTAAAAAAATTACAAGTACTCATAGCTTAAGTATTTTAATCTCTACATGAAATAGTATCGATTGCTATACGTTTTTTCTTTGGTATTTTAGCTAGCCCAATGATAACAAGCTCGCTTGGGAAACGGATATTTATATGTGCGAATCATATTTTCAACATGACCTCCTTTAAAACTTGTCTTACGGTGAATGAAAACGTCGTGAAGAAACCTGCATGTCTGAAAGAACATAGCAAGCTTTCGAAAGACCATGAGAAGTCCGCCAACCAGCACTTGGTCAGCATGATAGTCTAAGGCCGGATCCCCCTCGCATTGAAGGGAGACCCGTACCCAGCAGTGGGATTTTAAAAAGGGCTAAATATTGCTCATTGAATTTCACTCTACATGCTTTGTTAGAAAACGGTAACAAATTTACTAGACACACAAAAAAATGTTATGTAATAATAGTAAAAATATGAAGCAAAATTGAAATAAAAGATATTATTTCCGTATACTTACATTCGCATGCTATATTGCAGTCGCCCCCTTTTTTCCCTTCTCTGCACCATCTGGCTGGGATCTAGAAATACGCAAGATATGTGAATATCTTGAACATATTTTATACTTATAAAATACCTTGTTGACAAGCTGTTTTTGTTACAAAGCTTTGCATTTACACTGAAAACATAACATGAATGTTTTTCTAATGTTTTTCAAGTTTTAACTTTTTAATGCCAGCAGTTTTACTCGCTATATTTTCTTCATATACTTTACTTATAAATTCGTACTCTAGTTGCATACTAATACAACTCTCATACGAACTTTCGTCAAGTATACCGAGTTATTTCGAGGAACACTTTCGATTCTGAAGATTTTAAATATGAGGCGAGGGTATAATTTAGTTTACTGTAATTTGATTCATATAATGTCATTATATTAACACTAGCAGAACCCGCGATAAACAAACATACAAACAAACAAACACACTTTCACATTTATGATGTTAGTATGGACTAGTATGGATTATTTATTACTAGCTGACTCGACAGACCTCGTTCTGTCGAATCAAGTGTGTAGCAGGCCCGATTAGAAAAATGATGGTTTAACGTTTTTCCGAGTATTTTTCCTTATTTTTCTATTCGTAAGAACCCGCCTTTGATATTAGCGAATATTTGAATAAAAAAATAGCCAAGTTAATTCAGTTGCTCTCGAGTTTTGCGGCTAGCAACAAACATATTAAGCGATTCATTTTTGTATATTATGAAAAAAAGATACGTGAACTTGAATAGTTTAAATAATTAGGTAGCTAATTGCTTCAAAATCATAAAAATTATATTTATAAATAAATAAAATATATTTGTAATTCTACAAAATTCTATTTTCTAGTATATAAAATATCATTTAAATATGTACAATGTATATTAAAGGAAGGCCCGAGCCCAGCAGTGGGACGTCAAAAAGGGATAAATACAACACATACATACGTAGGTACTATACCTGATACAACCCATAAAATTTCTTGCCACTAGGCGTCACAACGAATGCCTGGGTGTTTCTATTGCTCACTTTTTCGATGAGGCATACCCCTGAAACAAATATAATCTATAATAATATTATAAAGAGGAAAGATTTTTTGTTTATTTGTACCGAATAAGCTCCGAAACTACTGGACGAATTTAGATAAAATTTGGAAAGAAGATAGCTGGAGACCCTAGAAAGGACAAAGGATAGTTTTTATCCCGGATATCATCCGTAAGGGGGTTGAAAATGGAGATGAAAGTTTTTATGGAAAATCAACCTAGCGACGGACTCGAGCGAAGCGAGGGTGAGTCACTAGTAGCCTATATACAATATTTTATCATGTATTTAAATGCATAATATATTAATATTTATTGTATAGTTTTTAGACGTGCTAGAATCTTTATTTTGACGTGCTAGAATAGTAATTGTCACGCCTAATAGAGGATTGTCCATTATTAAATACTAGATGCTCACCCTCACTTGGCTGTCGGTGTCGGGTGTGGGTTCGCCTCTAGGAAAGCAAAAACTAAAAACCTATCCCTCGGGAACCGTACATTTTCCAGGATGAAAAGTAGCCTATGTGTTATTCCAGACTATAATCTATCCCTGTGCCAAATTTCTTCCAAATCTGTTCAGCCATTCTGGCGTGAAAGGGTAACAAACATCCATCCATCCATATTACAAGCTTTCACATTTATAATATTAGTATAGATCTCCGTACAAATAAATAATAGTTAGATTAGGATAAAAATTATCACTTAATGAGCTTATTAGCTACTGAGAATAGTATCACAATAGGTCACATCATTTATATAATTCAATACGGCTAAGTGAAAGAGTCGCTAAAAATAGCCTACATGTTAGTCCAGACGCTTAATTCTTTTACTGAAATACGATGAGGCGTTACGTACAAAAGTAATGCTGAGTGGACGATAATTCATGAATTTTCTAATTTATAATATTATACTAGCAGACCAGGCCTTCCATTACTGTGGCACACTTATAACTTCATAAGTTAATGTCAATAATTAATTTCTTAGGTTCTTTGTCCCGAATCCCAGTTATGAAAATAGTTAATTTTGCAATACAAAAAGGAAGTAATCTGAATAAAACTTATTCTATTTTTTAAGTTGGAGCAAATCACGCATTTAAAAAAATATGTTAAGAACCGATAAGCAGTTTTGGAGTTCATCGCGGACAAACATCTTGACACGGGATTTTTATATATTAAGATTTGATACCTCATTAACTATTTAGATAATTTAAATTGTAAAAGCAAAAGAAATCCTTTAATAAAAAGACTACAGTTTGTGCCTACCTATGTAGATTATTCGTGTAAAATTCTCACGTTCCTGAGGGTTTTAGGTTGGTATTAGTACCTCAATATTATAAATTTAATACCTCAAACTAATCATTGAGGTATTTGGCTTAAGCTATAAAATACAAAAAGAACAAACAAAAACAAACTAATTATATACTAACTTATGCATATTAAATATAACTTGTTATAAAATTTTCCTCAACTTTAAAACATAAACAAATTTTAAATACAACGTCAAAAACCTAACAAAACTCAAAAATAAAATATTCACTCATCATAAAAATGTAGAAAAGTAGTTTGAAGTTATATTTTTAGTGGTGTCATTATACGAGTGCGGCATTAAACTTTAATACTTCGTAGACAATTGTAGTTCTCTTATAACACTTTTGGAAAAAAATATATATTGTGTATATTCAAATATGAAATTTTAAATGTTTGTTTATTAGTTCGAAATAAAAACTTTTTAATGTTTCAATGCGAGACATTTTCAATGAGAGCAGGATAAAGATAGACTACAAGTGCTGTGGCTTTAGCGCAAAAGCGGACTGTCACTCTCACCTGAGTTTTTATCCGCGAGTGAAGGTCCCGTTAAAATCATTAAAAACTTTCTTGCTTGCTTTTCTAATCTCTATCACGCAGAAACTATTTTCCAACCGGGATAATAAATAGACTAATCAATATCTCTATCGATCTCTTAAAGTTTCTTTAGAAATGATTTAGTATTTCCGGAGTTTATTTAAGGTCGGGAAAGGGAACGTAATACCGGATAAATATAGCCCAGAATATTAGTTATATCGAAATCTGTTTAGCGGTTTAAGCCTAAAAAGGTAACTTAAAACATCGAACATTATATTTACTTATAAATAAGAAAATAGCAATAAAAATTAAAAAGACATAGTAAAATCTAGCCATTGTCAATAATTGCATTCGCCACAAACTTTTATGTTAGCTTCTAATCCTTACTAAGCGCTTTTTATACAATTCATATATCTAGAAATATAACTCCGAAAATTTGTAAGAGCGCGAGCTAAATACTTTCACACTATAATACTCGTAGCTCCACGAATATAAATGAAATGAGGGTAAAGAAAGTTTATCTCCTTTACTATCTATATATTACAGGCTATTTGTTATTTAGATATATACTTAGATAATACACGAACGAATCTAAGTGTAAAAGCAAGTAGTATAAGATACAAACTTAAAGCCGTATCTCTTATAATACTTTCTTATATTAACGCAAATATTTGACATCTATTTATAGTATACATAATATAATAAAATTCCGAGTCAAATGTGTACATTAAATATTTTTTTGGAAATTCTTATTGAAATAGTCTTTATTATCGATACAGAGGCCGAATCTATAGTTTTTAGAATTTTTGCCTGTTTGTCTGTCTGTGACCGCATCACGAGAAAACCACTCGACAGATTTTTATGATATTTGGTATAATGATAGCTGGTTACCCAGGTCAACATATAGGATACTTTTTGCTGCTGGAAATTATCTCATCTCTGAGAAGTCTATACTAACCGTCAAAACGTACTAAGGGATGAACCCGAGCGGAGCGAGGGTGAGTCGGTATTTTTAAATACAACTGTTTCTTCGGATTTTTGAGATTAATCTCTCCCGTAACCCTCATTGCTGTAAAGCATTCGAAATTCGGCAATCAAAACTAAAAAACAATCTGCGAAAAAATCCCGAAGAAAAGTTTTATTTAAAACCGTAAGTTTCGTTAGGTACATATATTATACATATGATTGTATAGATAAATAGATTAAATAGACAGTGCATGACAATTCAAGTATAATTGACTTCCCACTCGAGGAATATATATGAACACTCTGACCCTGTAAGAATGTGAGGTGAGAATAAACTAGCCGTATTTTTATATGTGAGTTATTGTTATTTTTATATATTTATTCTATGCGAGTCAGGGATGCTGCTCAATATTAACTATTAAAAATGTTAAACATAAATCTTTAGGGTATATAGCCTAGTTCAAAATTATTTACTAAATATTCTAAGTTTCCATTAATATGAGTGTACCTACATATTTGTATTTAAGATTTCTTGTACTTTGTTGTCTTGTACAATGTACATATACTACGATAGGTACATTAATTAATAGAGTTTCTACGTGAATACCTCGTGAATTAAAGGTAATTTCATTAAATTGTTTTAAAACTTAAGGTAAAATAATGATTTACTTATACAAATAAAAAACTCACACTGTCCTAGAAATAAATGCTGTGGGATTCCCACTTTGATTAACTCACGGACGAGTTTGCATCTCGTCTCAAATCTTTTTAAATGAACATAATTTACACTTAACAAAACACAAATCACTATAAAACATATGTACCGCATCGCGATTACTACATTAATGAAATCGAAGTTAGAGTTGAAATGTCAATGTTAGCTGAATTGAATGAAACTATAAAATTGATAATAACTTTATAGTTTACATACATTGCGTAATTTATATGAAAAATAACTATGGAGTTTTTTTATCAAGGAGAAATGTATAGCGTTTTTGTTTTAAGAATAAAAGTTTTAAGTATTGTAATATTAGGTGGAAAATTATAACGAGCTGGTAATAAATTATAATTTCCTATGTTAATGTATATATAATTGTTTGTACTTCGTTGCTATAATTAGTATACATTGTTTTTTAAAACATCTAGGCGTTGATTCTAGTTTATTATTGAAATATTTTTTACTATAAAATAATATTGTAACGACTTCGTGTCTAAGTCACGAATGTAATAAAAATGTTAAAAAAAACTTGTAAAAAAAGGTTGTAAAACCAGTTAAAAAACGTACTGTGCAGTACGTGTAGCTAACTCAATATATATTCTTGATGTTCAAAATTTTTTTTTAGCATAATTATATTATATGGAAATGATGCGTAATAAAGATAGTTTAGAGCCGATTCAATACATTCATGAAAAATATTTTAATTAAAAAAGCCTATTGAATTATTATATACCTTCAATTTCCATTTGGCATATAACATACAGATATACTCGTACTATAAATAGTTTAGAGAAACTTGACAACTGAGTAGCGAATGAATAAAACGAATGTTTAGACTTAAGTTACGGGTTCGAGACTAACTTGAAGCAAATAATATTGGTGTTGATCATAATAATAACTATTTTATACCGTCTGAGTTTATCACTATGGCCAGTGGGTCTACATCACACGCCACATACATAAGTAAGGATGAGATAAGACTTAGGTTTTCCATAATAAAATAAAGTATATGGTACATTTTATATATAATTATACCTTTTTTACTAGTATTTCTAGTAAATCAGACAAAGAAAATACGAAATCCATGTACTTAATAGCCGGATGAAAACAATTAGGAATATTTTTAGAGATACTCAGTAGAATAGCAAAAAAGAAGCCTTATAATTTTGTCATTTCTGGCTTTGTAATACAGCCAAATTCCTCTGAGAGTATTGGCAGACAGGTAGATGTTTTTCATAAGCTGCTATAAAATTATAGTCAAAAGAATATATTCTACTAGCAGAACCCGTGGCTTCGCTCGCACTGAAACTACAAAAAAATATTTAAAAAAGTAGTTTCATACAAACTTTCTGCCCCTGTTTTACTCGATTATAAGATGAATTTCGAAAATGCTAAAAAACATATTATTATCTATAGCATTTATTATCATTTATATCAAGTTTCAAGTAATTCTGATCATAAATATTTTTTTGATTGTATTATAACGTCTTTTCATGTGGGTATTAAATAATCTGCCGCAGTAAAAAGTAGCCTGTGTCACTCTCCAGCTCTCCAACTACCTCTACACAAAAAAAAACATGCCAATCCGTCTCTCCGTTTCGACGTGAAAGAAGGACAAACAAACATACACACTTTCACATTTATAATATTATAGTATAGTATGGATTTATTTATTATGTCTATTTTTGATTCCCATTAAGTTTATGGATACTGCGGATGCATAATTTTGCTAATAACTCAAACAACGCAACAAATTACTTAGATATCTGATGGAAGCAGTTTGAACAGTAGTTAAAATATTATGCAACAATTTGTAATGTGTTTTACGTATCGATATTATTTTACATTATTAATTATTCTACAAATTCGGTTAAGCAATTTATTTAAAAAAAATATAATTGATTTTTTTTAAAAACGATCGACCGATTTCGATGAAATTTAAATGGGACCTGGGAAGTATACCCCTTGAAACACAAAAAAAAATCCAAATCGGTTCAGGCGTCTTCGAGTAATCGGTGAACATACATAAAAAAAAGATTCCCACGAATTGAGAACCTCCTCCTTTTTGGAAGTCGGTAAAAACACATAAACCAAATATATATAACTAGTTGTACGGAACCATTGATGGCTAGTCAGACTCGAACTTAGCTAATTTTTAGTATGTCCCTACACGGTTTTTCCAATGTTTAAAAATTAAACATTTTTATTCTATGCATAATAGACGAATGGTTTTCCCTATATCAAAATTAAAATAACAAAACCTCTCATCATTGTTGAATTACAAATATAAAGGAGCTTGGTCAGTTTATTGCCTTTTTGCGCCTAAATCGCGACGTAGATTTCATTATTTGGCTTGATCATAAATAACATCTTGTGTATCCACATGATGCATTCTGTTTAGAACAATCCCGATCAATCAAAATATCCACGTTGTGGCCGGCGAACTTATAAGTTGTTTTTGCACACAAATCCGCTCCAATAGTAATTAATATCAATAGTAAATGCTTGTTACTCTGTCTTTCTTTTTCGCAGCAGCGGCTGAAGAGACTAGGGGCTGTTTTTTATCCTCATATTAAGAACTTCCTCCTAGATAATGGTATATAATTATTGCTGAATCCATATCAAATTAACAAAATCTGACCAACGCACCGAGGACAATGGAAAACAATGTTTATTGTTACATAATATGAAGACGCAAATATTTTTTTTTTATTATACGACTCTTCGATCAACAATACTATGTTGATCGAAGATACGACTGGAAGTTTATCTAATGGTATTCTTGAGGAATCCATCTTTCCAAATTTCAGTTATATAGTACTACTGAGGCTGTGATGCGGAAGGATTGGACATGACATGACAAAATTATAAGGACTCCACTTTTGGCTTTTGGTTACGGAACCCTAAATATATTACAATGAAAGAAAGCTATAATTTATAGTAAGTTTAAGTGAGTATAGTCACAGAAAAAGCTTGTTAAGTAATTTTAAATACACAGATATAATATTTATATTATGTATCTCATTTACGTTCATTATAATAAACAAGAAAAAATATATAAATAAATTAGTTCCTAGTTTGCTTTTGCATACAAACTTTCATCCCCATTTTCACCCCCTTAAGGGATAATTTCCGGGATAAAAAGTATCCTATGTCCTTCCCAGGGTCTCAAACTATTCACTATTCTTACCAAAATTCATTTAAATCGGTTCAGTCCAGAGATTACCCCCTAGAACGTAACAAACTCACAAACTTTACCTCTTTAAAATTTTAAAATAGATAATGTATAATACACTGACACATAATATGTACATTTATAGTGTATCTATTAAAGATCACAGTTTAAAGATTTACTTATCTATTTTTCCTTAAAGCAAAGCCAGCTGTAAACTCCACTCAATAAATATTCAATGTTGCTAGTCAATTATGTTATTCCCTATTAATATAGTGTAGAAAAAAGCATTTTGTATAGAAATAGTGTATAGGAAAAGAAGGAATATTTAAATGCCTCGGTGATCTAGTGACTAGCATGTACGGCCATAGTCCGGAGTTCGTGGGTTCGAGTTCCGGGTCGGGCCAAGTTCAGTTTTGAGTATTTCTTAAAAGAAATTCGCAGTAACAGCCAGGAGTTGGGAAGTTGGCGCTGTTTTACCGCCGTGCCTCGGAGAGCATGTAAAGCCGTCATAGATTGAGACCATCGCCTTTGGGAGTGAAAGGAATAGAGAGTGTACTTGTGTCTGCGTGTACACGTTCACTATATACTTGTATGTGTCTCAGTGAGATTGGCCGCCGTGGCCGACAGTGATTTCTAAGGAGCAGTGTATTGCAGTTCATTAGAAACGACTCTATTGTATAGACATTATTACTATTAACAAACTTTTTACTAAACGGTGAGGTGAGATCTAGATTGTTACTGGGAATTTCTTATCAGAATAACTCACTATCTATACTCGGCCCAAACCGGGAGTCGAACCCAGAATCTCTGAATATAACTATACATGCTAGCTACTACAAGCCAACAAGGCTGTTAATACAACAATAACTTGTAAACAAATGGGCTTAACCTTTATGGGTACCTATCAGTACCTAGATAGCATCCCAATTAGACAAACAAACTTTAGTGATTGTTTACTAAAGCTGTGACCTATAGTGATATAATACTGCCGGACAAATATACACTACATCTTTATTTATATATACTATTATATATTTAATATTATAAAAAGGCAAATTTTGTTTTATTGAACGCGCTAATCTCAGGCACTACTAATCCGATTAGAAAAATTCTTTTTGCACTAGATATCCCATTTATTGAGGAAGGCTATAATAGCTACTACTACCCAAGGGAGCGGAGCAGTAATCATAAATGCCAATAAATCGAGCAGACTTCCATGTGTTATTGTTGTTAGTTAGAAGGTAATTATAAATGATATTTTTTCTTTACAATTTAGATAATAACATACATATTTCAATGTATGTATGTACAGAAAATAGAATTATTTAATACATATAAATAATATACTTACAATTCCCCAAAAACGTTTTTGCAATCAATTTTGTTTTAATCAATTCACTCGCAAGTCGACATCTCGTAAATATTTTTCCTTCACCTACACTAAATAGAAGTAAAACGTAGACTAATAACTTCATGTTCAACTACATGATGTTTTAGACGAGAATGAATGTGCTTAGAATATCAGAGATAAGTATCAATACTTGAGTTAACCCGTGAGTGCTATCTTCGTTTATTAACACTGCTATGATGATTCTGATATTATATCTTTGTGATAAGTATACAGGTTCGATTTAGTTTTTTTTTATAAAACTTATATTTTTTTTATTAAAACTCAGAAAATATTTACATTTGTAGTTATTAAGTTGCGATTTTCAATTCGCAGAATTTAGCTTGAAATGACTTTTATATATTTTTCGGAGGATTTTTTTTATTATTTAATCTAAATTTGTCGTCAGCTGTGAGATAGTAAAAAAAACATTTCATTAACTTTTGGTAAGCACAAAAGTATTACAAAATAAATAATTAACATATTAAGGTATCATGTCACCGTCTTTGTGACGGATAGGCACAAGCGTTAAAGCCTAATTTACATTAC